TAAATATTTCAATGAATGAAAATAAATTATCAATATTTGAAAGTAAATTTAAAAGAATGATAATGTATTATCATTTACATTTTTAATACTAACTTGAAAATAAAAAATGCACTTTAGTACTTATTTTTTATCATATATCATCTATTGAAAGAATGAAGTGAGCTCGTTTATATAACTCTTAAATGTTCATTCAGCGATAAAATAAATTTTCTTTTTTGTTCTTTCTTTATTTAAATATTTTCTAAATTCAATGAATAATATCAATTAAAACAATATTCATTTCTTTTTCTTTTTTTGTTTACGCTTGAATGAACAATATAAAATCCTATTTGAATTTTCAATTAATATATAGACAATTTTAATTTAAATCGAATAAGAAATAATTTAATAAAGAACATTTCATATGTCATCAAGTTCATTGAAAAGTTTTCTTTTTCTTTTTTTTGTTAATATTCATATTTATTAAAAAACAGAATGTATATATATATATATATATCGTTATAGTTTGTAATTAAAAAAAAAGTAGTTTCATATATATGAAGTATTTTTTATTAAAATAACAATATTTATTCTACATCGTTCTTATCTATTCGACTCACTTTCTCTAATTATTCATTGGTTATGAGTACAGGACAAGAAGCATATTATAGAACAAAAAGTATAGCGCCATCACCAATTGCTTCGTTCTCTCGTTTGTGCTCGGTCGACAGCGGTGATGACTAAAGATAGTTAACGACAACGAAGAAAAAAAACTGCCCGCCAACTCGACCGAGGCTCTCCGTCTGATTTATTAGACATCTTCTCATTCCCTTCTTTTTCTTTCTGTTCTACACACTCGTTCTTCTTTTTGACTAGAGCAACTATTTTCATCGTTGTTGTTAATATAATAATAATAATATTATTTTCGAGAACGGTCTCTTCTCTCTCTTCATCTCCCTCTCTCTCTCTCTCTCTCTGTGGATAATATTACTTTTTTTCCGTACAAGCAAACACACACATAGTCTCATAATCATTCAACTCATACGATTGGACAAGAATAAACAAAGACAGTTTAACTATATGGGTGACATTATACACATCTTTATTCAGTCTGTTCTCTCATTTTTTTTCCTTAACCATCACTCACTCGATGTATTGGCGCGCGTACATACAATCGCCAAGATGTGAATATACAGAAAGAGAAGAAATTCTCTTCGTCATTTTTCTTTCTTTTTTTTTTCGTTTTCATTTTTTCAAATTTATCATCAGGGCAAGTACATAGACAATAAACGAGAGAGAAAGAGAGAGAGAGAGAGAGAAGAGAGAGACAGAAACTAGTGAAAGAGTTTTTCTTGTCTACTATTCATAAAATGATTAAAAGTTAGATTAATTAGTTTGTCCTTGTAGTATTCATTTTCTTGTTTCTTTATTTGGCATCAACATTGATACGATCAATGAAAGGTAAAACTTGAATATAAAACGAGAAAAATCCGTTAATCTCTTTTTAATTATTATTTCTTGTTCCATCGAAAAAAAAAATAAAATAAAATAAAAAAAAAAAGAAAAAGTCGTTTGATTCTTTTTTTGTTACTTTGATGAAAACAGATGAGAGAAATATTGAAAGACAAAGAAAAGGTCCGAGTAACGAAGAGTAAGCGAACCAGAGTAGATTACTTTTTGATTCTTATATATATGTCCGTGGCAACACGGTTAGATCCATATATGTATGCATATATATATATATGAGGTGGCAATTAAACTTGGCCTATCTCTCTGTTCTCTCTTCTCACATAACCCTTTATATATATATATATATACATATACATATATATATTCTAATATGCAAATCGAGCGCGAATAAACGAAGCTCGTATTCATGTTAATCGTCGATCAGTTGAAATACTAAAATCATATTTCTTCTTATTTATAGACATTCATAGGTATTGTATGATGACGATGGAAGCATCATCGAATAGTCGAGATGGACTAACATCATTATCATCATTGACAACAGCAACAACTACTATTTCATTACAGTTATCTGTTGAACAGTGGGAATTATTAAGACGTTTACGAAATAGTCATTTAACAAAAACACAAATTATTCGAGCCTATGATGAACTAGATCGACTTGATCGTGAACTTGGAAATCTATTTAATAGTGCACCTCCAGCAGCTTCTTCTCTTACACTTTCATCTTCATGTACAAATGTTCCTTCACTCGATCCGGTATCACCATCGACAATGAATTCTCAACAAGTATCTCCACCTTCATTAGCATCTAATACAAATAATAACAATAATAAACGACCACATAGTCATACAGTTAATGGATTACAACCAGTAAGACTATCGAATGGTTATCATTCATCACAAATGCATCATTCAAATACACCATCATCATCATCGTCAAATCCTAGTTTAAGATCAATACGTAATAGTATTAATGAGACAAATTCATCTATATCAAATCAACATGAAACAATCAATCAAAATGATGTTGAAGAAGAAAATCGTGAATTACAAGAATTACTTGCGTATGTTATAATAAAATAGAATATTGTTTTATTTTTTTATTTCTATACAAATATTTTGACAAGTATTAAATAACCAAAAAAAAAAAAAACAAAAGTTTCAAAGAAAAAACAAAATTTTCTTTAATTATTATTTAATTTACTATATATATAATATAGACTAAAATAAAATCTTCATTATTTTATTTAATTTTTTTTTGTTGTTATTTAGTAAAGGTGATGTTGCTATTCATAATGAAATTTCAGTTTTCGTCTATCGTTATGATCTAAAACAATCACAAATAGCTCGAATGGCAGGTTAGATTTTTTTTTTTTTTATTTGAACAAAGAAAAAAAAATTAAAATTTTTATTTTTTTTATTTTTAAGCGGTGAATCAAGCATATGTATCGAAATTTTTACGTGGTGATTTATTTGATTTATCTGAAAATGGACGAATGGCCATATGTCGATGGTATATAAGATATAAAAAAATTGTTCAATCAATGAGTAAGTAATACAAATAAAAGAAAAGAAATATTCTTATCAATTATTTTTCTCATTAAATATTTATTTGAATTATATGAGAGGAGGAAACATTAATGATCATTAAAGAAAATAAAATATATGAATATTTATATTTAACTGATCGATTTGATCATACATACATTATGAATCAAATTTGTTTTTAATTATCAATTTTTATGTATGTACGAAAGAAAATGATCGTTGAATTGAAATTTTAAATATTAATTTTTTTTTTTTGCTGAATGTTTCAATGAAATAAAAATATTATATTATAGATTGATTTCATAATTTATATATATATATATAATTTAAATCGAGAAGTCTAGAATTTATTTTTCTTGTTATTTAGGTAGTAGTCAACCATCTGCTGAATTATTAGCTAATATAACATCAACATGTGAACCACCAACAAAAATTCCACGTCTAGTTGAATCTCAAACAAATAATAATTCATCACCTGTTTCATTTGATGCACCTAAACGTACTCGATTTACATTTCGTCCTGAACATCTTGATGTAAAATCCTATTGAATTAATAAACCAAAAAGAAAGAAACAAAAATTAATTTCTCTTTTTTTTTCTTTTTCATTATTTTATTTAGATACTTGAAAAAGCTTTTCTTGACAATCCATATCCTGATCCACGTCGTCGTGAAGATCTAGCTCGTATATGTAATGAAGCTCGAACACGTATCGATGGTACAAATGAAGTATTAAATGAACGTGATCGTGTAACTGATGCTATTGTAACACATTGGTTTCAAAATAAACGTAAAATGACAAAAAGTCAACGAGGTATTTTTATTTAATAATTCAAAAAGCAAAAGAAAGAAATATTATTTTCATCATTCTTTTCTAGTATCAATACAAGAAGAATCAATTCCATTAAGTCTATCAAATAGTAGTAATAATCATCCATCAACATTATCAATGAATGATTTTGAAAATACAAATGGTGATGATGATATACATATTTCTCATCATCATCAACAACAACAACAAAAATCTACTGTACCTGTTGTTGATATTGATTGTTTTGATACATCAACATCATTACTTGATCCACAGATGGCTGCATATCGTGCTATAATGAGTCGTATGGTACCATTTGCTAATAATATTAATGGTAATAGTTCACCAAAACGTTTTGTTAAACAAGAACCTATTTTAAATCAAGATGAATCAAGTCAAGGTGATGAATCAAATTCTCAATCACCATTAAACGATCATTTATCACCGTGAATATAAATAAATAAATTAATAAATTGAAATCTTTCTTCATATATATATATATATATATAAATACGTACATAAAAAAAAATCTATTCTTGTTTATTCTAGTCTTTGTCTGTATCTGTGTAATGTATTCACATACATTCCTTTCTTTTCGTTTTCTTTTTCTTTTTTGAATAGAAATATACAAAAAGAACAATTTTCTTATATAGAATGAAATATAATCATAGTGATGATGATTATTAATAAATCTATGAGAAATCCAAAAATATTTGATTAGATTGATGAAAAACATATGCCGAAAATATGATAAATAGTTTTTTACGTTTTTTATTCAATCCGACAAATTATCTATCAATTTAATTCTATTATAAAAACTTATGCTTACAATAAGAGACTAACGTCAATGAGTTGTTTAATAAATGATGTGATATAATGGCTTGCGCCGTAGATGTTAAAAATAAATCTTTTTCGTGTATGACTTTATACTTTTTTTTTTTTGAAAGGTCAATCAGTATGTAGTAATTTTCTTTTCTTTTTTTTTAATAAATGTGTTATTAATTTAGTTGCATTCAATATTTTAATGAGAATTTTTTTTTTCATATATGAAAATCCCAGTTACTGTTGATAATTTAATTAACATAAGAAGATAAAAGAGCAAAAAATAGATCTAATATAGAAAAGCAAATAAAGAAATAAAGCCAAGGTTATCAATAAACACTATATTTATATATTAAGAATAAATTCTAATTATGTATTTTTTTTCTTGAAATAATTATCAAGAGTTCCATTCTGAAGCAAAAAAAAAACAAAAAGATTATTTCTTAAATAATTCTATTGATCATGCTTGCTTTACTTTTTTTCCATTGGATGTTTTCAATTTAATTTGTGGTAAAGCAGTGTTAAATACCTAAAAAATATTTTTGAAAACAAAAAAAATTTTTTTTTTAGAATTTTTAGTAATTAATTTTTAACCTTTTTCATAGCTGTTGAAATAGCTGATGTTTGAAGTTGTTCTTCATTAAACCATTGCATTTGTGATGTTGATATTAATATTTCATTTTGATCACAATGTGCAAAATAAATAATATATTGTTTATCAATATGAGAAAAAAGATGACGACACTAAGTAAAGGCAAATCTTTCTTTTTTAATTCTAGAAAAAAAAAAAAGATGAATGAAAAGAATTAAAAATTACTTGTCCAGCTAATTTAATATTTTCAATACTGATTGTTTTATTAAATATAGTCATATGTTGTATTTGTTCAATAATATAAATTTTTCGTTTGCGTTCATTCATTTGATCAAGATCATTTGAAGAATTTATTTCTAAAAATGACCAAAGACCAGATAAAAGACCAGATTGTTTTTGTTTAATCATTAAAAATTCAAGTTTAGGATTTAAACGATAAATTATAAGAATAAATGATATTTCGTCTCGTTGTTTAATTTTATCTTTTTTTCGTGGATAATTTTCAACAAGAGAACGATTAGATTCAATATTTTCAGATTTTAAACAAAATCCACAATTTGACGAACATTCTTCAATATCAATTGGTGTTTGTTCAATCTAAATAAATACTTCACAATACATGTATATTCTTCATATTCATATATACTTGTTGTAAATATGCTAAACATTGATTTTGAACTGGACATATAGTACATTTAGGTTTTTGTGGTGTACATACTGTAGCACCTAATTCCATAAGACTTTGATTAAAATCACCAGGTCTTTCTGGACATACAAGTTCAGTTGCTAAAGACCTATATTATTTGAATACAATGAGTGGAATGAAATTTTTAAGGCAAAATGTTTCATTTTAATTTTAGTTTCCTGGAAAATATTTACGAATCAAAAATTATGTGTTAGGATTAGGATACTGTGCACTTTCGGAATTTGACCTTAGAAATTTTCATCTTTGTTTTTGTTTGAAAGTAGTGAGATAATCTTTGAAAGTAAAGTAAATGGTGAAATAATAGGCGTTTGCTAACCACTATAAGTTCTTTTTTCGAAGGTACAAAAAAATGATTGAAGTCAATCGTTTTGTCCAGCGGACATTTCTTTACAAAATGTTGTATTGAACTAACCTATGACTTTTATCTAAGTAAAACTATAGGCATTTTGTTAAGAATCCGTGTGATCACACAGTCGATTTGTTAAAAACAAAAATTTAAGATAAACAAAGATGAAAGTGACCTGTAGATAGACAAAAGAACACTTCGAATAGTTCATTTTTGTAACGTAGCTTGTAATCTACAAGCTGATACTTTGATAAAAGTTTCAATATCTACTTTCGAGTTACATTAGTGAAATCAAGAACAATCGGAAGAAGTACAAAAAAAAAGTTATGGTTATAGCCCATAGATAGAGAGCTACCAGAAACAATATGTATTGTAACATACCATAGATGGTCAGTTGTAGATTTTTTCTTTAGATCACTACCAATACATCGCATGCGTGATAAAACACGAATGACATTACCATCAAGAATTGGATTTGGCTAAGAATTAGAAAATACCATTCGATAAACAACGAAAAGATAAATAAAATTGAAAGACCTGACAAAATGCTATTGAACTAACAGCACCTGCTGTATAACGACCTACACCAGGTAATCGATTAATCATTATATCCAAGTCATTTGGAAATTCGCCATTATATTCATTCAGAATCTATTTAATAGAAGATGTTTTTTTTTTTTCTAGTTATTAAACCTCATTGAGTTTACCAATTGAGCACATTTATGTAAATTTCGTGCTCGATTATAATAACCAAGACCTATATATGAAAAATAAAGATAACGAAATTCTGTCAAATATAATACCAGCCCAGCATTTGAGAATATCCTACATAAATGAATTGTTTATTATTATTAAAAATAATACATTAGCTTACATCTTCAGTAGCTTCAGCTAATGATTTGATATCTGGCCATTGCTAAAGTGGTAAATCATAATAATATAAAAAGCGATGCATAGAAAAAACAAACGTAATTTTTATTTACCTTCATCCATGTTTCATAATATCGAATAACAGTAGCGACTTGAGTTTGTTGAAGCATTAATTCAGAAACAAGTACTAAAAATAAAAATAGAAGAAAAAAAACATATATATGTTAAATTTTGGTTTCTCAAACCTCGATAAGCAACAATATTTGTATTTGTATCATGCCAATCACGCCAAGGTAATTTTCGTTTATTAGTATCATACCATGCTAATAACGAACGACGACAAATTAAAATTTCTTCTTTTGAAAATCGATGACGAGTCATAATTATCTATAAGAAAAGAGATGATAAAAAGTTTCTCACAATTTCTTTTCTCAAACGTTATCAATTAAAATTGTTGATTATGGAGTAATCTGAATAATTATATGAATAGCGCCTGTCTTGGATGAAATTGATCAGTGCTTGTTATTTTTAGCTTATAGTCAGTTGTTCCGAATTCATCTTGTTAATTTAATCAATTTCAACAGAACTTAAAAATTCTGAATAAAATTTATAAATATATTCTATTATATTATTAGATGCGAAAGAACAATGCGTTGTATCAAATGATGAATTATTTTTCTTAGACTATTTTTTGATTTATCATAAATTTCTTGAATCATTACCAATTTTACTCTCATCATCTATTATATATTATATTTGTTGTTCAAAAAAGAATCATATCATAGAAATAAAATCAAAAAAGAAAAGAACAAGAAAAATACGAATATATCAGCAATAGTGCTAAAATGCAAAATATCGATTAACAGTCAAAGAAAAAAAAATCAATTATAGCGATTTGACTAGTTAATTTTTTTTTTACAAATAAAAATTTAAATTAAAAAAAAACCGAATGAACATATAAAAAATTGATTATTTTTGTTCTCTAACATATAAAAAAGAAAAAAAAAAAGAAAATCAACGAGCCGCCATTACACCAAGTGTTAATACATCATTGCACAATTGACATACTCTTACAGGTTTTTGTAAATTAAATTTCATTATTGGTAATTCATTCACAGAACATCGTTTACATAAAACTCGACCACAATGTCGACTAAAATAAATAAAAACAAAGATCATCAATAAATATTTTTTTAATTTTCACCAAAAATTATTAAAACTTGTTGCTAACAGTAGTTCTATAGGAAGTCTAAAAGTAGTTTGGGTCCACGAAAGATGCGCATGAGCGTGCGGATTGGGCTTTGGAAATAAAATGGACCCATTCAACCTTACTCTCACTCTCACCTGCCATCGCCCTCACTATCATCCACACCTGCACGCTTACCCATACTTCGCACCCTCATCCGCACGCTTGTGCGCATCTTTCGGGATCCCGAGTAGTTTAGGTCTTCTTCTCACGACTTAAAAAAGAAAATCTGACGCTGCTGCTACAAATAGTCATATAGATTAAAATCTCTTAGCATCCAAAATTTGCAAGTTTTCATATTAAAACAATACTAACCAATGGTGTCTTCGATTTGTGATTGTAAATTTCATTCCACATTCTAAACAAATCTCACTTTCACCCCATGGAGGTTCACGCGTAATAATATCTATTAAATAATAATAATAAAAAAAAACCAAACTTAATATTAAACTAATTAAATAACTTACCAAGTATATTAACAAGTAAAGCTTTACTTGCTGCAGGTATAGTAAATATTGAGAATGAATCATTATTACAAATACTTAAATTAGCACCAGCTGATACAAGAGCACGACATAATTGACCATGACCATTTTTATAAGCCAATATAAGAGCTAAAAAAACATTTGTATGATATTCAAAAAAAAATTTTCTTTCCGAAAAAAAAAGTCACCTGTATTTCCTTGTCCATCTTGAATATCAAGTGGAAATGTTGGATGATATTTTAAAATTTGCTCAAGTATGCCTTGAGCATTTCCTTGAGGATGAGCTGCTAAAACATGAAGACAATTCATTCCTCTACAAACAAAACATAGAGATATATAAATTTTAAACGGGGAAAAAAAAAAATTCTTTTTTACTTAGAATTTAATGTTAATACATCAACATCAGATTCTACTAATAAACAACGTACAACATCTAAATGACCATGTTGTACAGCCAAATGAAGTGCTACAGAAAATAAATATAAATTCTTTCAAATCAATAAAAATTTCTTATTCAAACCAGTATTTTGATTCGCATCAGTTAAATTAGCATGTATATGATTTTCAAGAAGAATACTACAAATAACACCACGATTATTTTCTGCTGCAATATGTAATGCTGATCGACGATTAGCTGTAACATCATTAATATTCGCACCAGCAAGTATCTATATAAAATTTTTTAAAATTTATAAAACAAAAGAATTTATTTTTCTTCTTTTTTTTTTGTTACTAAATTTCGAAGAATAATTTCACTTCCTATTTGTACAGCTAAATGAAGTGGTGTAAATTGACTAGAATCTTGAACACGATTATTAACATTAACTTGAACAGTTAATAAAAATAAAACACTTTCAATATCACCATTTTGTACAGCTATATGAAGAAAATTTCGACCTTTATTATCAAGCTTAAAAGAGAAAGAAAAAAAAAAGAGAATTTTTTAGTACTTGTTATTGTTGCTTCTTTTTTTTTTAAATTTAAGAATAGAATTTCTTTTTTCATAACGTACTTGTTCAGCTGCTCGTGGTTCACGTTTTAAAATAAGATTAGCAGCTTCATTATTTTTTGCTACCATTGAACAAGCAAATGGTGTTTGATTTTGTTTATTACGTATTGTTAAATCTAAACTTGGTGCACCAAGTAATAAATTAATTATAGCTGTATGTTGATTAATGATTGCAACATGAAGTGGAGTATTAGCTTCGGCATCCTGAAATATGAAATTATGTATTTTTTTTTATATGAGAATTTTGTTGATTGTACTTTTTTATTTATATCTGCATGATATTCAATTAATGTTGAAACAACTCGTTCAAGACCCCATTGAGAAGCTAGAATTGAATGAATCATAATTAAATATGAAAAAGACAATATATTTTTTTTTTTATTGATTATTATACCAAGATGTAATGGACTTTCAAGAGTTTTGCATATATCAGGTGTTTCATCGTTTACACCAGGTTGACGAGGAGAATTAATATCACAACCACTATGAATGAAAAAAAAAGGAAATAAATTATATTAATTTTTGAAAAAAGTAGTTCATATTTATGTACCTTCTAATTAGAAAGCAAGCAACACTTTCATTATTTTCATCAATAGCTCGATGTAAAAGAGTTTGTCGACAATTATCAGGCCCATTTGACCATCTATATGAAGAAAAACATTAATATTATGCTTTTCTTTTGTGAAAATAAATCTTAGATTTTAAATTTGATAGAAATTCGCATTGATAATATTTATTCTTATTTATAAAACTAAATGTATGATCTATTTGTTTGTTTTTTTTTGTTATAATATCAAACGAATTGATTATACACAATTTAAGGTTAACAACTACGAATGATCGAATAAAATTATTCAAAAAAGCCCATGCACTATTGTTTTTTTTTTCATTCAACAATGGTGATTCTTATAGAAACATTGTCAAATCATCATATTTCGTTTTATTAATCAAAACTGGCAAAGCCATCGAACAATTCGAAGAAAGTCATTATATCTAATTGTCTCACAGGTCAAAAAATATAGACCGTTTCCTAGCGAGAAAACTGGAGAAAATGACAGGAGCTTGAAAACAGAAATCCGGTAGCCAAAACTTTCTAATTTGGAGTAGAGCCCACCAGCGAACCCAATCATCAAATTTTTGCTTTCAAGTTTCTAAGTTTTACGACGGGCATCTGCCAAATATTCACAGATCTGGATGCCAGAATTACTGAGTGCCATCTCTC